GAATATAAACCAAAATGATGATGAACAATTAAGAAATCATATTATAATATGGAATATATATAGTGAGTAATTTTGGAAATATATATAAAGAAGATGTAGTCCCGACTCCCTATATAATTATCACCAACCAAAAAAGCGTAATATTCATAATATTATAATAGCAACTCTTTGGAACTGTTAAATTATCAATGATATATAATTAAAGTTGATAATACCATAATAAAAAAAGGAAAATTGATGTCTTTTTATATATTTCAAGAAGTTTTACCTTGGCGGCTAATCTTTTTTGTATATGGAGATGTACACAAAGATGGTACTTTGAGCTATATGATTCTATACACACTACTATCTTAAAGTGGATCATGTATAGTATACTATGGATATGGTGACATAACAAATATTTGTTCAGTATTCAATTGATCTAAGTATCTACTTTATAACTCAATACTCAAAAATGATATCAATAGAAGATACTTGACGTTTGTGAAAGCATTCTATTGATAATAATGTATATTAAATCCATGATTATAACAACATGATCACTGAAATTTGATTCTAAATCATAATTGGAATAACTTGGATATATTTTGTAGATTCTATGGTTCAGAACTTATATTTATTTCAAAACATATTGGGTTCTTTTTATATTATAATATTACAAAATGTAGTTTGTGCGCTTAATTTGAAGATCAGTTTGGTCATATTAATATATACTAGTACGTCTACAATATAATATAGCTGCTCATTTCAAAAACATATAAACATAACCTCAATAAAAGAATCAATAATGTTGATCTTTAATGAGTAATTTGTATATTAAACCAATTCTCCATCAACATGATATTGAAATGTCATATCAATTATTGAATAAAGTGGTTGAAATCAATTCATGAACTTGGTATAAACAAATTGTAACTATACTTAGAGCTGAATTTAGAAATTGAAATGCTGGTAATAATTTAAAGCTGTTCGAATCTGAAAACCACAATGCTGAAATACAAATTGACTTTTTAAAAGAAATGGTGAAGGAAAGAGAGTTGAAGTGAATATCAATTATTGAAGATCAATAAGATATTCGTAAGTTTTTATATTATAAGTTCAGCGGTTAATTTAAATGATTACTTTTGTGGTATCACAAAAACATGTCGGATCACTTATTAGTAATATGAGTATATAGGAATATAGAATTGAATAGTACTTGTGTAATTGAAGGATCAAAGTATACTCTGGATCAGAAGTTCTACTACAATGTTACGTTTTATATATAGATGTATGAAAAATCTCTACGAAATTCATTTGAAAAAAGTTTAAACAATAGATAAACACTTAACATAGCACTGTCTATTGTAATTATGATGTATTGAATTCATTTAGAACAATTTGGTATATATAATTATAAATATTGAAACAATGATCAATATCAAGAATTATGAATAGTGAACCAAACATATTCACTATTTTCAGCGAACTAATTGATCATAGAGATCTTTCAGCTTCAATCCCACGATAGTTTCTTCAAGAGAACAGTGAAAATCAAGATACAGGTGATGGTCAAGAGTAAATTGTTTTTGTAAAAGAATAATTAATTGTAAAGAAAAGGGAGAACTTCAAATCTTTTTATATTCAAAAAGAAGTACACAATTAATCTCAGCGGCTAATAATCAGTCGACTTCTAATCTTGTACCAAATTACCATCAAATACAAATTATAAACTACATTAAACAATTCATTTGGAAAAACAATCAAAATCAATAGTTAACAATCATAAAGATCATTAAATTGATTTGCATATATTCATAGATCCAATTATAACAATATATAAGAAACTTGTGAAAGTTTTGTAATCATTGATATATTGATCATGGAATATTATATGGTACTGTTACTGATCAATCAAATATCAAAACAAGACTAGAAGCGCAGCTACTGGTTAATATTCACATCTATTAGTAGAGTTCTGCTCAGACACAAAAATACCCAGGCCTTGATCACCAAAATGTACAGATCAAATTCAAAATAGCAGATCATTGTTAAACGGAATTTGAACCTTCAATTCAGTTTTTTATATATGTTCACAATAATGGCGGTTAATTCAAATGACACAAAAACAATTTATATACAATCTCTACAATATTATCAATAAATTGTATAAACGTTAAAAATGAAATATTTAGACAAAACTATAGATATAAACCTTCTAATGATTCATCAACTTTAGTCTTCATTACACTTTCTTTAGCTTTAACAAAATCATCATTTGTAACCTTCATTCTTCTTTCTCTAAGTGCAAGTAAACCAGCTTCTGTTGTTATAGCTTTAACTTCTGCACCACTTAATTCATCTTTAGCACTTATAATATTTTCAACATCAATATCTTCACTTAATGTCATTTTTCTTGTATGAATTTCAAAAATTTTCTTTAAATTTTCTGAATCTGGTGGAGGGAAATGAATTTTTCTATCTATACGACCTGGTCTAATTAATGCTGGATCTAAAGTTTCAATTGCATTTGTTGCCATCAACACTTTAATATCACCTCTATCATCAAACCCATCTAATTGATTTAATAATTCCAACATTGTTCTTTGAATTTCCTTTTCACCTGATGATTGGGAATCATATCTTTTTGTACCAACTGCATCAATTTCATCAATGAAAACAATTGCTGGTGCATTATCTGCAGCTAATTTAAATAATGAGCGAACTAATTTAGGACCTTCACCTGCATATTTTTGAATTAATTCTGAACCAACCATTCTAATAAATGTAGCAGAAGTTGAATTTGCAACAGCTTTTGCTAATAAAGTTTTACCTGTACCTGGAGAACCATAAAGAATAACACCTTTTGGAGGATGAATACCCATTTCACTATATAATTCTGGATGAGTTAAAGGTAATTCAACAGCTTCTTTAACTTCTTTAATTTGAGTTTCTAACCCACCAATATCTGCATAAGTTTCAGTTGGTGCAACGTTAATCTTCATTGTATTTACTAAAGGATCTGCATCATCTTCCAAAACACCAACAATTGATACTGTCTTGTTATGTAAAAGAACTGAACAACCAGGTTCTAATAATTCTTTATCAACAAATGATAAAATTGATACATAATATTCTGGACCTGAACTTGAACTAACAATTGCATGATCATCATCAATAATTTCTTCTAAAGTACCAACAGTCATTGGAGAACCTCTAACTTCTTCTACACGGTCTCTTTCTTCATTTTGTTTTTTTTCAAAAGGTTTTAAATTTTCAATACTTGCAACATATTCTTGTTCAATTAATAAATGATCATGTATACGTTGAGTTTTTAATAATTTTAATTTTGAACGATTTCTTGGGAAAACATCTGGTAATTTTTCTGCTGTTGATGGACCTCCTTTCCGTTTCTTTCTTCCTATTTTAGTTTTAACTGGTGCTTCATATTTTGGTTTTTTATTTTTTTGATCTTTCTTCTTTCTATCGCCACCAGGTAATCCTGAAGCTCCTTGACCCTAAAAAAGTGGATTGTTAGTATGAATCTCAGGAAAAAAAACACAGCACAAGATCATCAATTGACATCAATGACAATGATCTCATCAATAACATACCATTTTAAATGATTCTTTGTTCTAAATTGATTTAAAATTGTTACTTCTTGTTTTATAGATTTCAATAGATTTTGATTTTGATTTTTGACATTTTTGGCCACCAAAATTAAAAACATCAAAATTCGCGGAAAACCAGAAATGGTAAGGAACACAAACTTGCAATGGGCACTACACATATAACCAAAAATTTTAAATTCCATAAATTTCCAGTATTAATTTCTAGTTCATTTCTTCATTATTTTCATTATATAACTATACAAAAATTATTCATTGAAGCACCATCATGAAGTTTCTTCTTGGGGAATTCCCGAGGTTTTTTATCACCAGTATATTCTAAAACCATATATACCAATTTTTTAGCTTCATTATATTTAATCAATTCATAACCTAATGAATTAATAATCTTTATGAAATGATTTTTATCACAATATCTTGAATTTGTTATACAACTCAGGGGAAGCACAAAAAATACTAGTGGGTTTTGAGAAGGATCATCTTTTATAAGAAAATGTTCAAATTTTTGTAACATATTACCTCGATCTTTTGGAGTTGAAACAAAATTCAAGACTAATGAACATGAAATTATATTAAACCTTTCTTTATTATCTTTGGGTATTGATATTTCCATGAAATCTTGCTTTGTTATACCAGGTTCATTTGAATTTAAATCAATTCTTGTTGTTTCACAATATTTTGATATAATGTTTTTAGTTGATAATGAACCAATTTCTAATGCTTTTAATTTTGTATCTTTCAATTCTGGCATGACTTCAAACAACCATTTTGAAGAATCACTCCCTCTATTAGTTTCTTGTCCATGAATAGATGCAATTTGATATTTGGAAAGACCACCTTTCTCCACGATTTCATAATTAATTTTGGATAAAATTATTAATAAATTTGTTTTGGATGTTTCATTACTAACTTTTAATAATTCGGATTCTGTGGGTATTTCTTTTATATCTTTTAATTTATAATGTTTCTGAATATTCTCATCATTGATCTGTGTTGATCCTAGTTCTGATAGTTTCTTATATATTATCTCTTTTTTATTTAATAATAAATGATATCTTCGTATAATTTTCCTTGTATTGGCTGGTTTAATTGATGGTTTTGTGAAAGTTTTACCGGTGATTGATCTATTTTTTTTCAAGAACCCTGTAGATTTGGCCATTTTGAAACTATTGAAATCAAAATTTACTCTTTCTTAAAGGAAATTTGGTTCTTTTTATACTTTTTTAAAATGGGTTTTCGAATGATCGCATAATAAAACTTGTAAATATTTTTTTTTGCATGGTGATTACATAACCGATGAGCTTCTGGAAAAATTTATTATATAGGAAAATTTATATTTTGATTTGTTTACTTTGAAATATAATAAACAAGTGAAGAACCAGGTTTAATAAAATGGTTTCTAATCAACTAAAGAAACAAATTCTTGCAAAGAGAAAAGGTTTATCTAATAAAAATAAGATTTCCAAACCAACTTTAAAGAAGAAATCAAAATCAAAATCAAAATCACCAAAAGTTCCAAAAAATCAAGAAAAAGAAGTTATTGAAGGTGGTGATCAATTAAGATGGAAAAATGTTGAAATTCCTGATACTTTAGATGATTTTGGTGGTCTTTATGGATTAGAAGAAATTGATGGTGTTGGTGTTAAAGTCGTCGATGGGAAAGTTCAATTCATTACTAAGGAAGATAATGTTAAAAATGCTGAAGATGAGGAAGAAGTTGATGATAAAGATCCTTTTGATAAAGATAATGATGTTTCAATGGATGAAGATGAAGATGATGAAAAGAAAGATGGAGAAGAAGATGAAGAAAAAGAAGATGAAAACGAAGAAGATGTCGACGACAACGAAGAAGAAGAAGAACCAAAACCTATTGAAAAAAAATCAAAGCCTGTTAAACAAGAACAAAAATCCAAAGAGAATTCTAAACTTGAAGGTTTTGGTAAAATCTCAAACAATTTAAACTTTGAAGAAATTGAATTACCAGAAGAAGAGGCAGATTTACCAGCTTGGTCAAATTTAGATTTATCAACATATACATTACAAGGTCTTTCCCATTTAAATTTTACAAAACCAACACCAATTCAAAAAAAATGTATCCCTATTTGTTCAGAAGGTAATGATATTATCGGTAAGGCATCAACAGGTTCAGGTAAAACTTTAGCCTATGGTATTCCAATTTTAGAAAGATTAGTATCTTTAAAAGATCCAAAATTCCCAGCTGGTGTTATATTCACACCAACAAGAGAATTAGCTCATCAAGTTGTTGATCATTTAAATAAAATTTCAAAATTTTTCCCATCCCATCAAAGTTCTATATTAAGTTTAACTGGTGGTCTTTCAATTCAAAAACAAGAAAGAATTTTAAAATATGAAAATTCTGGTCAAATTATTGTTGCTACCCCGGGGAGATTCTTAGAATTAATTGAAAGAAATGGTGAATTTGCTAAAAAAGTTTCAAATTTAGAAATTTTAGTACTTGATGAAGCTGATAGATTATTACAAGATGGTCATTTTGATGAATTTGAACAAATTTTAAAAATTTTATCAACAAATCGTACAAAACAAGATAAATGGCAATCATTAGTCTTTTCTGCAACTTTTGCAGTTGAATTATTTTCAAAATTAGTTCATCAAGGTTATAAACCAAAAGATGAACCTTCAAAATTAGATGAACGTGAACAAATTATTAAAATTTTAAATGAAAAGATTAAATTTTCCAAGAAACCAGAATTTATTGATTTAAATCCAAATCAAAAATTAGCTAATGAAATTACCGAAACTATGGTTGAATGTTTACCAGCAGAACGTGATTTATATCTTTATTATTTCCTTTTAATGTATCCTGGTACTACATTAGTTTTCACAAATGCAATTGATTCTGTCAAGAGATTAGTTCCATATTTAAATAATTTAAAAATTCCAACATTTGCTATACATTCATCAATGCTTCAAAAACAACGTTTAAATAGTATTGAAAAATTTAAAGAATCTGTTTCTAAGAATTCAGATCCAAATAAACCAATTGTTTTAATCGCTTCAGATGTTGCAGCAAGAGGCTTAGATATCCCTGGGATCCAACATGTTATTCATTATCATTTACCAAGAAGTGCAGATGTTTATATTCATCGTTCTGGTAGAACTGCAAGAAGTGGTATGGAAGGTATTTCAGTTATGATTTGTTCACCACAAGAAGCAAGTGGACCTTTAAGAAATTTAAGAAAAGCTTTATCAAATGATAAAACTAAATTTAAAGGTAAATCTACTAAAAAATGGACTAAAGATGTTGAAAGATTACCAATTGAAAGTGATATTGTTAATCAATTAAGAGAAAGATCTGTATTAGCTTCACAATTGGCTGATAATGAAGTTTCAACAAAATCTTTAACTAAAGAGGATAGTTGGTTAAAACAAGCTGCAGAGGATTTAGATATTGATATGAGTGATATGGAAGAAGATGAAATTTTGAAAAAAAATAGAAGTAAAAAAGAAAATAAAAGATTATCATCAAATGAAATATCAAAAAAGAAGTATGAATTATCAGGATTATTATCACAAAATATAAGGAAAGATTTAAGAAAAAGTTATCTTACTGGTGGTTTAATTAATTTAGCTGATTCAATTGCTAAAGGTATTGGACATGGTAATATTATTGGACATGATAAAGTTGATGCATTACAACAATTGAAAACTAATAAAAAGAATAAAAATAAAAAGAAATAGAGAATACATAGAGTTATATATAGTAAATACAATGTTTATGAATATAATATGCAAATTGTAATTGAAAATTATTACATTCTATTATACAAAAACAAACTTTTAAAAATCATTTTGGGTCATGGATCAGGGGGTCATAAAAGATTAAATGAAATCTTCATCATCATCAAAATATTCATCATCAGAAGATTCATCAACCAATTGTTCGAAATTCAAAGCATAACGTAAAAGTGCACCAATACCACCAAAACCTCTAACGAATTGAGCACCTTCACTTGATCTATCAGTAATGAATTCTAAAGTTGCACCAAAATTTTTATAAGATTCAGCTAACCATTCTAATAAAACTTGTTCAGAAACTAATTCCATTTCTGTACCGGTGTTCTTATCAATGTTAAAAGTTTGATCTTCTTGTTCTGGTGAAGCATGAACAATAACTTCATTACCTTCAGAATCTTTATAAGTATAACGTACAACATCTAAATTTTCATAGACAATAACAGTTTCACATGAACCAGCTTCCAAAGCTTTTAATGTATCTTCAACACCATAACAAAATTTACCAGTATCTTGAGAAATTTCATCGAAATAATGTGTAATTAATTTCTTTTCTTGGATAAATTTAACATTTGCTAAAGATTCTGCAGATAATTCAATAGCTTGATTAAAACCATTTTCACCACCATAAGAAATATCAACAATTTTAACAATTTTAGATTGTAATCTATTATCAAATAAATCAGACTTTGATAATTCAGTTTTAAAATCAGCAGAACCAGCTAAAACTAAACCATTAACATTAACTTTATCATTTGTAATAAAACATTGTACAGCAACTTCAGCAACTTTACGAACATAATTATGTCTTTTTTCTTCTCTCAATCTTGAGAAACGTAAAGCAGATTGACCACCTCTACCATGTTTTTTTGGTAAATCAACAGTAAATTTTGTTATAATAGTTCTTGTATTACCAGATAATAACCCGAAAAGAGACCCATTACCATCCATAACGATAAATCCATAGTTATCATCACTTTCTAATAATTCAGATAAAGCTTCAGTATGGAATTTATTATCACAAAGATATAATTTAGTATTAATTGGTTTAAAAGGTTCAAAATCAATATTTAATTTTTTTTCTTTACCTTCTTCAGTTATAACATCACCACAATAAAGAACTAACCCATTTGGTGGAACCTTTGTATATAATTTTAATTTTTGTTGAGTAGAAGTGATTGCAGACAAGACAGATAATCTATTAACTCTTGATTTAATATTTGAAGCAGTACCATATTCATCAGTTAATAATTTTTGATAAAATGAAATTTGAGATTTTGGTGGTATAATTAAAGAAATCATTGAAGTACCATTACCTCTTGCTAATTCCAAGGATTTAATCAATTTCTTGACTTTCCATATTTCAATGTTTTTTTGAGCATCATCAGCTTGTTGATCCATCTTGAAAATTAATATTTAAGTGGATTTGTTATCAAAGTTGATCAAGTTGTCTATTTAATACTAGTGCTTTTTTGGACCTTTTTTTGATTTTTTTTTTGACTTTTTCAGTGCAATCGAAAAAAAAAAATTTGAAAATGAGAATATTTTGGTACTGGAATTTACACAGAGAGATGAGTGTTGACTATGGGTGTGTGGGTAAAAATGGGTACCAAAATACATAGATTTATGAATTTGAAGGGTAAACTATACTGAAAAGAGTACGGAAAAGCATAAATATGATAGAAAACACTTAATATAATACTATGCTTCTTTTTCCTGGTTGAAATCTCATCATTTAACACCTTTTTAATGGGATTTTAGTTAAAACAATCACGTGAGCTCTGCCATTTCAAGCCGTGTCTTTTATTTTTTGCGCGAATTTAATATTTTTCTTAAAATTCGCGAATTGAAATCCACGGTTATCGGGTTAATTTTAATTAAATAAACGTACTTGAATAAAACATCAACAATTGGAATATTTCATATTGCTGTTTGTTAATCTAGCTGAGACGTTTGGTTGTTAAGGGTGTTTATTCATAATGGCCCTCAAGTCAAGAAACCTGTTCCATAGAAATAAGAAAACAGTAGATCAAAATCAAGATTCTGATTCTGATTCAGTTAGTGAAGATGAAACTCCAATTATAAAGAAGGAAAAATCAAGAAGACCAAAAGAAAATAATTTTACTCAACAAAAATTAAAAGCTATTCATCCTATAATAACACCAAAATATGTTATTCCATTATTTTTAATTCTTGCAGTGATATTCATACCATTAGGCGCTGGTATGCTTTATGGTTCTTATAAAGTTGAAGATTTAACAATAGATTATACTGAATGTGATTCACAATCAAATTCATTTGAAACTATACCTGATGATAAATTTGAAGCTAATTTTAAAAATGAATTTTCAACAGCTCCAAAATGGAAATATTCAAAAAATTCATCATCAGAAGCTACAGATGAACAAGGAATTTGTAATTTACAATTTACAATACCAAATGATATTGGACCAGCTGTGTTTTTATTATATAGATTAGAAAATTTTTATGCAAATCATCGTCGTTTTGCAAGATCATATAGTGAAGATCAATTAAATGGTGAAGATGCAAGTATTAAAATTATTAAAGATACAGTGGGACAAAATTGTGAACCTTTAAGTTTAGATGAAAATGGTAAAAGAATTTATCCATGTGGATTAATTGCAAATTCATTTTTCAATGACACTTTTAAAGGTTTAAGTTCTAGTGATGGTAGTGATTATGAAATGACAAATAAAGGTATTGCATGGGCTACAAATAAAAATCGTTTTAAAAAAACTAAATATAAAGCATCAGAAATTGTTCCACCACCAAATTGGAAAAAAATGTATCCAGATGGTTATACTGATGATAATATTCCAGATATTTCTAAATGGTCAGAATTTCAAAATTGGATGCAAATACCTGGTTTATCAACTTTTAGTAAATTAGTTTTAAGAAATGATGATGAAGTCTTGAAAGCTGGTACTTATGAAGTTGAAATTGGTATGAATTGGCCCGTTAAGGAATTTAATGGTAAAAAATCCATTTATTTAACTACAAGATCTGTTATTGGAGGTCGTAATCCATTCTTGGGGATTGCATGGATTGTTGCTGGTGGGATTTGTTTAATTTTAAGTATTGTTTTCTTAATTATTAACCTTGTTGTTCCACGTAAAATGGGGGATGTTTCATTATTAAGTTGGAACCAACAACCAGTGAAGTTAGAGGAAGATAACTAGACAATACAACAACCATTAAAACCAATTTAAACCAATTTTATGACTCAATTTATCAAGTTTATATTTGTATATTACATAATTTTTATAGTGTACATTACGTAATCCATATTTCAACCGGATCTCGATTATTTCCATATTCGTATTTGTTCCGAGGGCTTTGTTTTTATTTTGTAAACAATAAATTTGACATGAAACGGAAATTTGAAATTGTTAGCAAAATCAATCAATTCATAACCAATTTTCATTCGTTTAAAGAGGCAAGAAGGTGCTGGTATCATAGTTCTTACGTTGGTTGAGGCTGGGACTCAGGTTATACAAGAAAAAACGGGATCAAAAGACCCAATCTTAGGTTTTTTTAGACTGGCTGATCTCAGATAGCGCTATACTTGCTGGGTATATCATGGCTTCAAATTTGTTCAAGAATGAATATCTTCACCGGTTCAAAGAAGAAGACAGTGAGATTGAAGAACTATCACGTATAGAGGAAAATGAACTGCTGCAATCGCCCAAGTTTAAGAAATTACAATCATCTTCACCACCAAGATCAAATTCTGGTTCACCACAAAAATATAATAATAATATCAATAATTCATTTGAAAATATCCCCATTTTAAACTATGTGCCCAATGGTGAAATACCTCAAACACCTACAAAACCTAGGAATAGAAATAATCTAAAATCAAGATCTTCTGTTCCACAATTATCTTCACAACAACCTCAAAGATTTAATTTTAATACACCAACAAAAATTGATCCATTAGTACCCAAGGCTTCAAATTCAAAAGTTTCATTAACACCAGCTCAAAGATTTGAGAAAAAACCTGGTAAATTATTTTCATCAAGGGATATTTTATCATCTTATGAATTTAAAGAAACTATTGGTCGTGGTGCTTTTGCTAATGTTTATAGAGCTATTAATAAAATTACAAATGATGAAGTTGCTATAAAGGAAATTTTTATTGAAGATGATGATAATATACTGGAATTAATGTGTGAAATTGATTTATTGAAAATTTTAAAACATAAAAATATTGTTAAATATCATGGATTTATCAAAAATGATAAAAAATTATTAATTTTTCTAGAATATTGTTCTGGTGGGTCCCTTAGAACTTTATATAAAAAACAAGGTCCATTAAGTGAAAAACAAGTTGCTAAATACCTTGTACAAGTCTTGGAAGGTTTAAAATATTTACATAGTCAAGGTGTCGTTCATAGAGATGTTAAAGCTGCAAATATCTTATTAACTTCCAAAGGTGATATAAAATTAACAGATTTTGGTGTTTCCACAAAAGTTTCTTCAAATACTATTAAAACTTATTCAATTGCAGGTACACCAAATTGGATGGCACCTGAAATTATTTCCATGGATGGTACTTCAACTGCATCTGATATTTGGTCATTAGGTGCAACTATAGTGGAATTATTAACTGGTGAACCATTATATTCTCATTTAAATGAAATGGCTGCATTACATGCTATAGTAACTGATGATTCACCACCAATACCAACTTTCATATCAGAACTTTGTAAAGATTTTATTATGAAGTGTTTTGCCAAACAACCAAATGAAAGAATTTCTGCTAAAGAATTATTTAATCATCCATGGTTAACCAAGTTTAATAAGAAGAATAAATCCAAATCAAATGCATCATCAATAACTTCTTCATCATCATTAGAAAGGAAACCATCAATTAATGAATTTAATTCAATTAAGAGATCCACCATCAGCAAAAATTTCTTACCTTTAGATATGCATTCTACTTTTAAACATTCTGAACATGATTTAAATACATTCATTGATAATAAACTTAGTAATGAATTTGATACTTTAGATTTAAATGGAACAAGCTCAACATTATCAAGTCCAATTACATCAAATCCAATTACAAATCCATCTAATGGTGTTTCATTATTTAGACCTTTAGAACAAGATGGATTTATATTATCTGCACAGAAACTAAAGAAAAAACTAAAATTGAATCCATTAGATATAATTACATTAAAAGATATAATAAGGAAATTAGATAATGATACTATAGATTCATTAGAATTAATTAATGATGGGTTCATTTATCAATTGAGTTTCACAATAAATCAATATATCCAAGAATTTGATTCAATTATAGAAATTTTTATAATGTTGTCTAAATTAATTATTAAATTACCTGATATTTCCACAATAATTAATAATTCTGGTATAATAGGTTCATCTAAAAATTTAATAACTAAAGAAACACCTTCCATGTTAAGAAATCAAATCGTTGAATTTTTAAATACAATTTTCGATATTGATGAAAATTCATTAATTATATTTATTCAAACTGGTGGATTATTTGAAAGTTTAAACCTGTTAGAGGAAGATTTTAAATTAGATCCAAATTTACCCATATTTACAATTAGAACAATAAGGAAATCTTTCCAAATTTCCCCAGGTAAAATACCCAAAGATTTAATAACTTTCACAATTTTCAATACACCAAATACGATTGATTGGATTGGAATTTTTTTGATGGTATTCTCTCAATCAAATCATACATCGGCAATTAATGATGTTGTTTCTATTATATCAGAATTACATTCAAATAATAATAATGTTGATTCATCAGTTTTCAAACCAATGTTTTTAAATTCAATTTTTAAAATATTTGATAAATTATCTAATGATAATCAATTTAAAATTTTGGTTTTTCTGAAAAAATTAAATTTAAATGAAATTTCTTCAAATGTTAACATTTTGAAATTCTTGATTAATTCATTAGATAAACAACAAAGTAAAAAATCACCAAGATATGATTTCATCAATTTAATTTGTTCAATGATTTTCAGTTGTTGTCATTTAAACCCAGAAAATCAATTAACTATAATCAAATATAAAGTATTCCCAATATTCTATAACTTGATTATTAATTTACAAATTAAATTATGTTTTGAATTTATTTTCCCCTTAGTTTGTGAATTATCATTTAATCAATCCTTAATTAAATTTTTACAAATTTCAAAATTTGAAATATTGGATATATATATCAATTCTTTGAATGATCCTGTTTGGAAGGCTAATTCATTAGATTCAATTGTGGGGATTTATGAAAGATTAGGTCATGATGAATCAATTATAGAAAAAATTATGAATTATGATGATACAATAATTGGAAGTTTTATGGATAAGAATTGTTTGAATTTTGAATTATATTTAGAAAGATTCATTAAATTATTAAATTCATATCAAATTTCTAAATCAATCAATCAACTAAGGTTTCAATTATTCAATAATGTTCAATTTTTAGAAAATATTTTCTACAAAATTAATTTTTACCAAAATGATTTAGTTATAAGATTAAATCTTTTTAAATTATTGAAAGTTTTATCAGAAAAGGCTAATGAGGAGTCTTATAATGGAACTTCCCAAATCTTACAAAAGAAACTTGTTGAAATTAAGCCAACAAAATCATTATTAATTGATAAAATAATTGATGAAATATTATCATCATCTTAACAACAACAACAGCATATAGTTCAATGAACCAATGAATTTTTAATGTATGAACGTTTATAGCATTTATGAGTATATATATTCCTATAATTATAACTAGCTGTAGATGACTTTATGAAAATACTTGATAAATTCAAATAAATCAAAAATTAAAAGTTTATATAAAATCTATCGGAATTATGTATATACGCCAATTTCTTCAAACACATTTCCGACGCGATGAGCTTTTGAAAAAAAGTGTGAGAACCAAAAAATTTTTTTTACTGTACTTAGATTTTTTTAAATAAATATTAAGTACCCATACTTTATATAGAGATATTTAAAGGTATAATTAGTCTTAAAGATCATATTATATAATGGGTGTCACTAATAAGGGAACCAAACGTTCTTCTGTTCCAGCTTCTAAACCTGTTGTTAAGAAGTCTAAGTTTAATAATAAGAGATCAAGTAAAGTTGAAAGTGAATCTGAAGAATCTGAACAATCTGAACAAGATGATTCAGTTTCTGAAAGTGAAGATGAATTAGATCAATCTAGTGAAGATGAATTGGATCAATCTAGTGAAGATGAATTAGATCAAGATGAAATTAAAATCGGATCAGATAGTGATGATGATTTAGAAGATGAAGAAGATGAAGAAGATAAAGAAAAAGAAAGAGATCCAAATAAACAAACTTCAAAAGAACAACATGCTGAACAAAGAAAAACTTTAGCTGAAAGAAAATTACAAAGAAAATCAGGTGCTCAAGTTCAACATATTAAATCATTATGGGAAAAATTAAGAGTTAAAAATCCTCCATTACCAAAAGAAATTCGTGATAAATTATGTGATGAAGTATGGAATTTATCAAAAGATGTTATTAAAGATTTAGTTATGAAACATGATGCTTCAAGAGTTGTTCAAACTTTAGTTAAATATAGTTCTAAGGAAAGAAGAGAAGCTATTTGTAATGCATTGAAAAAACATTATTATGAATTAGCTACAAGTTCTTATGGTAAATATTTATTAGTTAAATTATTACATTATGGTTCAAAAGAATCAAGAACTTTAATTTTGGATGAATTACATGGTAAATTAAGAAAATTAATGAGACATAGAGAAGGTGCTTATGTTGTTGAAGATTTATATACATTATATGCATCAAATGAACAAAAAAAACAAATGATTAGAGAATTTTGGGGTGCAGAATATGCAGTTTTCAAAGATAGTGGTAAAGGTAAAAACATTAAGGAAATTTGTGATGAAAATGTTGAAAAAAGAACTTTAATTGCTAAAAATTTATCAGGTACTATAACTGCTTCAGTTGAAAAAGGTTCAACTGGGTTCCAAATTTTACATGCAGCAATGAAAGAATATATTCAAATTATTAATGATGATGAAGTTCGTGAATTTATTGAATTATTACATGAACAATTTGCTGAATTGATTCATACACCTGAAGGTGCCGAAGTTGCATGTAATTTAATTGCTAGAGCTAATGCAAAAGAAAGAAAACAAATTGTTAGATCATTAAAAGATCATGCAATGAATTTAATTAAGAATGAATATGGTAATTTAGTTGTTATAACATTATTTTTAACAGTTGATGATACTGTTTTAGTTTCCAAAGCATTATTTGGTGAATATATTGAAGAATTGCATAATTTAATTACTGATAAATATTCAAGAAGACCTTTCTTATATTTATTAAATGGATTAGATGGTAGATTTTTTTCACCATCTATTCAAAAAGAATTAAAACATTATATTGAATTATCAAAAGAAACTTCTAAAAAACCAAATGATCAAAGAAAACAAGAATTATTAGAAAAAATTTCAACTTCTTTTTATAAAAGTATAATAAATCATTCATTAGAAATTTTAAATGAAAATATTGGATCTCAATTCATTGGTGAAGTATTTTTAAGTAATGCACCAGCTGATGAATCATTAAAACAAGAAGCCATTACAAGTATTATTGATTCATTTAAAGGTGATATTAATGATGAAGAACATCCAGTTAATAAACCATTTTCAGTTAGATTATTAAAATCATTAATTCAAGGTGGTAGATGGGATCCAAAAACTAAGAGTGTTAAAAAAGTTGAAGTTTCAGGATTAGGTTCATCATTTGCAGAAAATTTTTATAATGAAGTTATTGGAAATGATTTAGAATCATGGATCTTGAATAAAAATCTTTCATTTATTATTGTGGCAATTTATGAATCAATTGAAGATCAAAAATCTTCAAGGTTTATTAAAGATTTGAAAAAATTGAAAAAAATTGTTAAAAAAGCTGATGATGATAATAAAGGTGCTCAATTATTAGCTAAAATTGCTGAATTTTGAGTAATATAAAAGTAATTATGGTTTTTTAGAGTTGTATAATAATGATTGTATATTACATTTTGATGGAGATGAATATATAATTCCATCATGTTTAGTTTTAATTGTAGTATGGAATATTCATGAGTTTATAGGTAAGTCGGAAATCAAAAATATAGTCACGTGTTGAAATTCGATAAATTATAAATGAATTGAAAGAAAACTAGACAATAATCAGTTATGAAATGGTATATCAAATGTCTATCTTTTCCACTTCTTATTGTTCCCCATTCTTCACAAAAACACCAGCTATATTACTTTATCGATTGATTTATATCAAATTTAAATTCCGACCACATATATATGAGGTTTTCACCAGGGTTTAAAAAAATGGAGTTTAAAAAAATACAAAATTGATAAAGCCACGCACAGAAACTTTCAATTTTAACGATCGATAAATCTTGTAGGTGAATAGACGAAAGGTCCCAACTTTAGGGTTATATTACACAACTAAAAATAAGTCAATTATGACTGAAAATGAGATTCTCTACAAGAGAAATATCTGAAATTTTATACTGTAGTATTTTTTTTAATTTTAGCTGGATGTTCGCCGTTATATTGATTTTTTTTCAAAGCGGTGACATTAGATTATAATAAGGCAATGTCACCGAGTTTGAAGTAAAAAAATTGTTCAAGTTTGAAAAAATGTTCGCGAAAAATCGGTACGGGAAGTATTTTTTTAAACTCGGAATTATTTCAAACTCTGGTGAAAACCTCAATAAATTCAATAATTCGCGTAATTTTTTTGTTTACATTTCAAAAACACAAATCATAATTAAAAACATCAACATCAACATCAACTTTAACGCCATCAACACCATCAACAAAACCATTCATATCATCATTCATATCACATTCAGAATCAAAGTATATATCAATAGGTCATGTTGGTTGATATATTAGAATGGAATGGAGTTGCCACTTGGTCATGGGATGTTCCCTCAGAAGAAGTTTGTGGTATTTGTCGAGTTTCATTTGATGCAACATGTTCAAATTGTAAAATACCAGGAGATCAATGTCCATTAGTTGTTGGTGAATGTACACATAGGTTTCATATGCATTGTATTGTGAAATGGTTAGAGATTGAAACTTCAAAAAATCTTTGTCCAATGTGTAGAAGATCATTTAAAGCTGTTCATGGTGAAAAACAATTAGGTGGTTCTCAAGTTCTTTCATATATTGAATCATTTAATTTTGAAGGATGATAGGTGTTTTTTGGGGTGCTTTCTAATAGGTTATGAAATTGCTATTCGAATACTTTGGTTTCATTGGGGATATTATACTAGCAGGTTTTTGTTATGTTTTACAAATGATTCTTACAAATGATTACCAAATTATCATATCTATCACTATATTCACTATCACTGCTCAATTAAGATTAAATTTTCGCAATTAAATAATGGAAATTACTCAAGTTGGTTTAAGATCCATAATTGCAAGACTGCACCTGTTCCTTTTGAAAGGGTAGATCAGGATTCGACGGGATGTATCATGTACTATGTTTGTTTTTTACGCAAAAATTAAGATTTAATAAGATCCAATAAACTGATTCAAATGAGGTCCAAACTAATTACAAAGAAACGGGTTTAATTATGTTTAAAAACTTGGTTGTTGATCATTTTTTATGTTTTCTTTTTGTTTTCGTTAATCATCGGCTTCTCTTCCGTGTTTTTTTGGAATCTGGATTGACATATAAATAGAAATCTCCATTTTAATGTAAATCAATGTAAGGATTTTTAAACTTAAACGTAAGTTGTAACCAACAAAGTTAAGTAAAGTTTAAATAAGTTTAAGAGGCTAAGCCACTTTATAACTTGTAAATCATGAAATTCGATCTAATTGTGATACGTTCACAAATTCAAATGTATAGGCCGGTATATTATCGCCTATCTCAAGTTCTAGAAGACTTTTAAATAATAAAAGGTGTTCTTTAAGGCGGCTAACCAAAGAATAGAGCAGTTAACAAACAAATAACATCAATGGATACTTAAAGATCATAATTAGCTATAGATTATGTATATAAATACAATATACCATCAAAGATTACATACCTTCATGGGTTAGATCATGGATCTCTTTTAGTACCTTCTAGTCCTTAATTAATTTAAAAGTTGAACGCGTGTTCTTTTTTTTTAGAAAGCCTTCAAAAAAGTTAAACTTAAATTTCCTGCCAAAGATCTTCCTTACATTTATGCACAAAATTTGAAATCTTAAGTTTAAAATTTAAGTTCCTGGC